CACGGATGTTCGCTTGTATTGGAATGATTATTGTCAGTTCTCAGCCTTTGCGTTCCGTTTAGATAACTTACAAAATGATCCCGAAACATATTAGTAGGGACTTTTATCCAAGATATTGTGCTCACCGAATCAAGGTTTGCAGGCGTTTGCTTTTTCGATCACGGTTGTTGCCTTTCTTCCTCTTGGTCAACCTAGTTTTCTCCTGCGTTTGCTCTGTTTCAGTAATCCCTATTCATCTATTGACGAAGAGTGTGAGACTCTTCATCCGCTGCCCATGAATGTGGGCAGTCCTAGTACCCCGTGCAAGGTCTCCGCCGCAGACAAGCCAATGACGCGAATCTACGTCGGACACCTGAGGCCCTATATCACACGGGCTCAACTTATGCAGTATTTCTGCAAGTATGGCAAGATTGAACACGTCTTTGTGGCCAAACAGAAGGATACGCATGCATCTCTCGGCTTTGGATTTGTGCAATTTGCGGATGCAAGTGCTGTTAAAAAAGTGCTGACCTCTGGTCCGCACAATATTCGAAATGCCGAACTTGTTATTAGGCCCGTGCGCGAGGGCGGTACGCAGGCGAATGACGGATATGAGGGGTGAGTTTTCACCTTTGTTTTTAAGAGAGATTGGAAATAAGGGAAATAAGTGAGAGGTGAGAGGGTTTTAGCTAAGGGGATCTGCCTGTTAAGCCTTAAATCACCCTTTCTTCATGTATAGCATTCGAAGGAACCGTATGATAGTGACTTAACTTAATAGGGAAGACCCTTAGCGTCTCGATCTCCCAGCTCGGTTCTGTGCGGGAAGAGAAGAAGTGAGACTTCAGATAGCTAGGTGGAATAGTAAATTCTGTGCAGAAAAGGTTGGAGGAAGTTTGCAGTCGGAGGAGGACATGGTCACCCATAATGTCAGCATCCGAGTATTAGTAACGTGGCAGTCGTTACAGTTAGGTACCGTGTGAGTCAACCTTAAAGATGATTGGCCAAACCGGACTGAAGTCGGCAGACACTTGTATGTCCGTGCAAGCCTTCACGAGAAGCAAGTGGTTGAGGGTGTTAGTATGGTAGCCTGACCAAAGGCTAGCAACCTTGTCTGCTCTCCTAAGGTGTCGAGCCGGCCGCTGACCGTCACAGTGTTTCCTTTGTTCAATAGCGTTTGTTGGGCTGGACCCAAGCAATGACCTAAGAGCGGCCGCGGACGCGCGACCCCAATGCAGTGTTAGAATTATTCCTACCGAGCGACCC